TACTGCATTTCAAAATAGGTACCTATTGCTGTTAATTTGTGTAGTTTAGAAGATGGTTAATTTTTGTTTATAGCTGCATTGTAATCATTTTGTTTATTTAATTGTAAAGAAATGACTTGTTATAAGACAAGGAACATTTCGAGATTAATATTTTAAAAGTTTATCTCATCTTTTTCTTCGGTTGTAGATAAGTTTTGGTGATTTATTGTGTACTCCGCGGAATCTTTCGTAACTACTTGAATTTCATCATAAATGTAAGCTGACGCTCTCTCCGATGACGTGTAGTTGAATGGCGACGCGACGTTTATTAGATTCGATGATAGCAGTGACTACTTGTATGTTGTCGGTACTTTTTGATTCAGGCTTGTGCATTTAGAAGCTATGCTATATGGCCAATCTTCTTACATTTAAAACATTTAACTTTGTCATCAGACAAAAAGATTCGATATTCTTCATCCTAAAATTCAACGACAATAGATTGTGGGCAATCCACCTCCTTATCAGGCTCGCATGCCACAAACACTTGTCGCCAAAAGCTATAAACATGTAAGTAACCTTCACCTCCCTGTTCCTGGGGATGATACTTGTGCTGTTATGTGTAAATTTGTTTATTTTCATCCAGATCACTGTGCAAAGTGACTTGCTTCTATCCAAAAATGCAGTTTTTTTATATTTGCTATAGTATAAAATGTATAGAAAGCGTGATCACAGTTTAGAGAGATCTTGCGATTTGGTTGAAACTTTAAGAATGAAGGATGTCGTATTTTGAAAGGTGGTAACTAAGAATGAATGTAAAATAAATTGGATCGAACTTGAAGTAGAAAATTTTGATAGGTTTTAGTTTCCCACGGGAGAAAGGTATTTACATATTTTTTTCCTGAATTTGTTCATTTTCACATGGGATTAGCTTTGTTTCCGTCTCATTTAATTGCATGTGTTAAATTCCGATCTCTTCATTTTCGGCGAAAGTATAGCCCAAAAATACACAGTTATCGTTTAGTTGTAAATTGTAATTTGCAATTTAAATTTGTACATGCGAGATTTGCTTAAAAGTAAAACATAATGTTATTTTGCGGGATATATTATATGATTTTTGCGTAACAGCAGATCCCTGAAGCCCGGGGCACTAAAAGCTGGCTATTTTGTGTAACTACGCGAAATTTAATTTGTTTTTTTCGTTTATTCTTGCTTGATACATTTAACGGGGGGTTATTGTGACATAATTGTAAATTTAAGAGCCAGCTAATTAAGGAATGAAAGGAATTGCGTACAGAGGTAACAGCTTGTAATGTAATTTTGTTTTTAACTCGATTGAATCGGCAGTAAGAGCGTAGCTCATTAAAAAATTAAAAGTGTATTACTCCCTCAACGTCCATTTTAATTACTCCAGTTCGCATAATATATCGAGCAGAGCTTCACGTATATCACACGGCCGTTGTTCGAGACACTTCCACCCCCACAAACTGTCAATTTTATACTTAACCTAATTAAATATTTCTTGCTACCTGAAGCAAGGTTAACATGAAGCAGGAATTTTCAATGCTTTGGTGTCGTGAAAGGAAAATCATTACTGTTCAGAGATGTGAACGAAGGTTATGTGTTCAAACATCCAACAGTTTCAATCATAGTTTAGGTGGTGTCAATATTATTGATGTGTTCGAAAGCGTCCTAGACTCAAGCGCGCCAAAAATTCTATACACACTGCTATCTGAATGGGATTTAAATTTGACGAATAATACATAAATGTAATTACCCATATAATTCCCCGTGTGGTTACCAGATTTCGGCAATTATTGTGACCTGTTCCTATTTGAAAATAGTTTACACACAGGGTTGTGCATTGGGTTATTAAATGAAAAGGGCTTAAGATTCTTCATAATCGTCATAACTTCCTTACATAGAATTGAGCGCCACGCAGCTTTTTAAAAGTTTTACTTGTTCTGTATAAAACTGGGAAGTAATAATGAAATCCAATTAGAAAATACTGATATATCTAACTACAATCAAACTAAATTTAATAAATGATTAAGGGGGGGGGGGGGTACCACACGTTTTACCCTTCATGGTATTCTAATGAAAGGTCTCACCGAAATGAATTGGTATGTACAGAGTATAACTTTCCTGCACGATTTCCTTCCGAGATCAGCAGGTGGCCGGGGGGGGGGAGGAGGGAGGAAGTAGAAATTAATTTTATCTTTTATAGAATTCGACCAATTAAAGGTCTCAATAAAATGAACTTTTCTACAAACTACCGCCCTTCTCCCTTCCCCTTATCAAAATCGGAAGTTGTAGAAACTGGACGAAACGTGTATTCACTTCGAAAATCAAACGAATACTGAGTCACTGATAGTGTTACCATCTTTTCGCGTGCAATATTACCTTTGTCTCTACCAGAGCTGGGCATGAACTAATTCAAAATGGAATTAATTCGTGATTTAATTCTATTTTGGGAATTAAATCCAATGGAATTAAGCCTTTTTTTTGGTACTGCTATAAAAGGGCTTGTAATTAAATCCTTTTGCAGAAGGAGTTGTAAATGTGAATTGTAAAAAATGCTCAAATCACACGAAAGGCTTAAGCCATATGAAGGCTTAATTCTTTTCAGAGATGCTAAATCAGACAACACTACCACAGCAAATTGCAGTTCATAATGAGGCCGAGTACTTCAATTTCAGAGTTAAGTAGTGTCATTTAATGCAAAACTGACCATTTTTGTATTAAATTTTACCCGAAATCTTATTTTAATATAAAATTTCATTTTCATATGGGTATCATTATGTGTATGTATAAAAACAATATTCATAAAGTATTACTCAAAACTTTATTTTAACAACTATTTTTTATATTATAATTGATATACGAAGAATTTTTGTGGAAAAAATCACGCAAATCTGATTTTTTTAAATAAATAATTGTTTAAACAATATAAATAATTATTTCTCCCCTTTAGAAGGTTTCTGATTTTAAACAATATAAAAAAAGGCGTTCTCGAGTTCGACGAGGAACAAGCGGACGGAAATCCATCACATATAAGGGGAATTTCTTTCGAAAAATTCCCCTAAAAAGTGCTTATTTTGGGTGCAATATGAAGATCATATTTTACAAAAATTGCTTCAACTTTGAATCCCAACGTGTCAATAAGTGCAGGAGAAATTCATTTCACGGGCATCACTACTCCAAGCCGCTTACCTACGTCATAAAATGCCGACCTTTTTAAAACACTCCTGCCACTTCTGAATGTGTTCATTAACCAAGACCTTTGCGCTTTACATGTATTTAGTAATTTATAGAGCTATCCTCTTCGTCCAAGACAAAGGTCCTTCTCTGCTGCTCTATTAAAGAACGACCTAAACTATGGACATTTTGCGTGCAAATAGAAACCGTACTTGTATTTACAATTTTCCGTCTCAACGAAGTAATTGACGGTTTAATTGGAATTTGGCGTTTAGGGCTTTGATAAGTTCATGACGGACACGAATATTGAAATATATTTACACGCCGCGAATGGGACTAATTATGCTCAATACAAACAATTAATTTTGTTCCAAATTAATTGCTTGGCCTTTACCTATATATCTCGGTTGGGTTTTGTAATGTTTGCACTGTAAATTGGGTTTTCCAGGATGGTAATTATTCATATTTTCATGACTAACAGAACAAGGCATAAGATATTTTTTATAAATTTCGTATTATTAGAAATTGCCATGCAATTAATTACACTCATCTTTGACTCCTTTATTGCATTAATCTTCTTGAATATTAATAGGAAAATGCAGAATCAAGATGTACAACGATGTAAAGAACCGAGACAGCCAATTACTAGATTACACAGACAAACTTAATTCTTTTACAAATTAGCTACCCGTTCGTAATTAAATACACCTGGCAAAGTTGTATTATGATCCCATTTCTAGTTAAGTTGTGGGATTTAAACTACTACACCCTCACTTTGATCTGTTTATGTAGTTAATCCTTTTTAGACAAAGGCGCTGGTAAATATCTTAAAGCGATGACTTAATTAAATGCACCACCTCTCTCTTTGGCGAGAAGGAATGAATATCACAATTTGGATTTGCGAATCTAACACCACTATTCGAACAAAGTAGTCAATTTGCATCCCCATTTAAAACGTTAGTGATATTTAATTCGTTTGGAATTAATTTGTTTTGTATAGCCCCATCGCGATATTGGAAGGGTAGATGAATGAATTTAAAGCTAGAAAACCGTATAAAACAAGAATAAACCTAAATGTCAACATCAAATGCATGCTACTTATACTCCTTCAGGTTATTCTGCAGGTTTGACGTGTTAGTTGTTTATCACGTATCATCCCCTATTTGTTTATGTTATAACACACACCACACAGGAGGTAAACTTATACTGTAATATTACAGTGTGTCCTTTGATACTACGTAGGCGTCTAAAGATGCTATACGCCTTTAGACGAATTTACAATAGGTACTATAGAGATATGTGAATTTATAAATATACCATCAGGTTATGGGGGCAGCGTGCTTCGTTGCGGGATAAGTAATTTTTTCGTGATTTGTGAAGTTCGTGTTCTTCGTAAGAACCGCGTTCAGGTTCCTCTTTTTTGAAAATGGAAAAGGTAAGTTCGACGGTACTGATTTCAATGTATGGAAATTCCAAATGCAATCGTATTTGGATGTGTACATGTCGTAAATGGATCATCGCCGAAGCCAAATGAAGACGAGGCACAAAAATTAAGTGAGTGGAATACATTTGACAAAAAGGCAAGGATGACCATAGGGTTTGCGCTATAGAGAAAAACCAAGTACGGCACGTAATGAATTTAAAAACGGATGTGAGATCGTTTAGTTTCAATTTATGGGCTCAAAGATGACAGTTTCGTAACATATCGCCAACGTTGAAGAAATGGCACAGCGCTTGGAGGATTTAGAACAACCCCGTTCTGAATCCGAAGTTGTTATCAAAATTCTACTCAGTTTGCCAGAGGAATATAGACCGTTTATCGCCGCCTGGGATTCCATTGATAAAAAGAAGCAGAAGAAGTGTAATTAGTTCCACGGTTGTTAAAACAAGAAATGCTTCTGTGTGGCGGTATTCCTATGATTCGAATTATTATTACTGCTCGTCTATTATTGATTTATTTATAAAATGAAGGTATAATTAAGAAGAAAATGTAAAAATGCAGTACTTAAGCAATTACAGAGTAACTGGTAAAGGATAAACAACTTTGGCGTACCAATTAACGGAAAATGCCGTTTCCGAACCAACAATAAATTTTATTATTAGTTTCCATCGTCCTTCCGGAATGAAGGGAGGAAAATTTGTAGCATTTGGTTCTATATTACACCCGTAATAAAATACTCCCTGTAATGAAGTAATTGTAGGCGACAAACAATTGACCGTAGACGTACCTTTAATATGGGACATTGTACATTAGAATCTTTCAGCAGATTAGGAATATCGAATTCTTTTCGGTTCATACCCTCGCAATATGGCATTTTAAACTCAACGGGCCCCTTCCGATACTGATTGCCTCTGAAAAATCCACTGCTGACGGATATCTAGAAGAATTGAATCAACGCGTACTGTCACTTCACACTGATTAAATACCTGTCCGTCCCTATCGTTAATGATACGACCGTTGCTTATAAAGCTAAAATTTAAGTATAATCTATTGGGATTTACTTTCACACACTTATAAGTGAAATTTTTCACCAAATTGTCGTTAACATCGCTAACATCGCAACGCTCGTGCACAAACGAGTAACCATTTTGCTAAAAACGCCAAAGCTATTATTTTTCTACATTTAATAATGATTTTTATAATACCACTGACTCAGACATACAAAAATAATTAATGAACACAAAAATAATTGTCACAGCAGTTATTTTTAATGCTGTCATTGTAACGAGTGGTTTGATTTCGCGCCAAATTTCATTAAAAATTTCGAAATTTCTTGTCATGATAGTGAAGGTCACCCTGTATATTTCATTATTTGTTCCGGTTAGAAATTTTGTGTTTGGGCATTTCGGTTCGCTCAAGACTATGGTCCGATAGATTTAATTTCGCTCAGATTTAATTTCGTCGTGGGAAGAGTGCAAAGCTGATTGACGTCATCATGAGTAATGCGAGTTTTTTGTCGTTCGTTTATCAACTTTGGCGCCGTCTAGACCGAGAATAGGAGCGGATGTAGCACCGAGCCGTCAAGAGATAAGGAGTTTTCACGTCATCAGCAGAAAACCGTGAGATCAGTTTTAGTCAGCAGTTCCTTGAGGTTGACGACGAAGTTAGAGTGGGTTAAGTCTTCTTTATCTAAACCAATGGGAGAATTTCTAGCGGGATCCATTTTTGTTTTATGGTAATTTGGGTGTGGTTTTTTCATTTCAATTCTGAAGAAGGGGATCGTTTTTGGAAAGACTCGCGGTTAGTACGTCAAGCGGTCAACACGTACCTTGAGCGATCGTTTTGGTACACTTGGCGGTTTGAGCCACCGGCTTATTTCGGTTGCTCCCAGTTGCGTGCTTTTTGCACCCGTTCCGAAGTGTTATTTTCTTTTCGCGTTGATTTTTTGGCGAAGAAGACCCAGGTTCCAATCAGGTGATATTTTGGCGAACCCTTGAGCTTCACCCCAGTTTACTTTGGATGCAGTGAATCGCGTTAGGATACGTTGTGATTTCTCGAGGATATATAAATCAAAGTGCTGCCCTAGTCCTCAAGGCGCAGAATTTCGGGATCCGCCCAGGTGGAATTTCCTATTAGTGCCGTACGGTCATTTGTCGAAGGAGCGCTGCGTTTCGGAGAGATATTTGCCCCAAGAAGAGCTGGTGAAATAATACTTTGAACCATCGCGGTTTACCGTCGGATAGTGATCATAAAAGTTTGTGTTCTGCCGTACCGCTAACTCAAAAAATCCGTCTCCCGCAGGCGATCAAAGCTAATAAACTAATAAAATAAAATTAAGTACCCGTGCTGCGTAGAAACTTTGGCAACTAGCCGTCTCCCACTCGCCACGCGAAGGGTTTCCTGGACTAAGTTTCCGTTCAAACACTAAACTTTGCTTCGTTCCGAGGAAGGATAGGCACCGTGGATTTTTGTTTCCGTGTGTTAAATTCAAGCCACCCCCTAGGAAGTCACAGAGACCTAAGTGTCAGGTTTCATCACATCCACCCTGTACCAGAGGAAAGAGCAGTTCACAAGATCGGCTGTACAAATGTTGTAAAGGTTAGTCTAAATTAAATTTGTAATATTCTGTAAAATTCCACTTTTTGGTAATTAAGCTATAGTAAAAAATTTTTTGATTTGATTGTTTATTAAAGTCCAATGAACGATTACCAAAGAGTAGGATAAATTTTTGTGTTTATTTAAATAAGTCCCAGCCCACGCTGGATTAAAAACCGATTACCTGTTGTTGCAATTTTCAAACTGTAGAGGATGGCCACCCCTTGAGTAAATTAGTCTCACCTGTTAGGATTTTTTATTTAGTTTAGTTGTCATTGTTAAGCTAGTGTTTTTACAAGGAGAAGAGAAGAACTGCTAGATCCCTGTAAATTGTTTGTATCGCTAATCTCATTTCAATATATTATCTATTTGGTTTCAATGTGCCTGTCTTTAACGAAGAACGAGGGGAAGGAAAGGGAGGAGTAGGAGTTGAGGCAGGAGACTGGTAGGCGGCAGGTTAAGGTTTGTTACGCAGTTTCAAAAGAGTTAAAAGCCCACCGATTTGAGTTAGCCGGAGCATTTATTTTTATCGATTGAGCAGCCTAAGAAGAAGACGGTTTGCCTTGCCGGGCGGAACCGATGGTAATCTTCAAATCCAGAAGGAACCCCCGTAGCATCATATTCTTTTTTCGTAGTACCTAATACCAAATAAAATGACTACTATAGTGGCTCAACATTCAATATATTTAAGCAGCGGTCCACTGATTATCATTCGGTATAATCTACTAATGCTTAAATAATAGTTACAATTCAGGGTATAATAAAACGTTGCAAGTCAATATTGGATTAACTGAATCATAACAAATAGAATCGTGGGTACACATTAGGGATAATAAAGAAAATTACCCTTTGACGTGATTTACAAAAGTCATACCTACATATTTTTGGATATTCATTTTTTTGGTTCCGATATATTTTTCTCGTGCATTCTTTTGAGCTGCTACTATACCGTGTATTGCACCTGGTGTACTTATTTTTTTGGTTTTAATTCAGCAGTTAACACACCTTGTACCCTTGTTCCTAGCTCACATGTTTGCCGTTTTTATAAACTTTTCTGTTTATTTGATGAATGTGCATATGATCTAATCTAGCGTGATTCCTATCGATTGGCTCACAAACGTCATTGTGTTCTTGCGCATACTCGCAAGTTTATTGACTTCCAAATATACCAGTTTAATATTCTGGACCATGGTCTATCAGTAGCACCATTTGGACTACTTTCATCAAAAAAAAGGGAACTGTTAAGAATTTCTTAGGATAGGTACCTAAAGTTAACGGCATACCTAAAACCCGGGACGGGTGTTTTTCTTACCTACCCGAAAAATACGCAGATTCGGTTTTTAACAACTGAAAAGTCAACACCTTTTGTATATTCGATGTCTCGTTAAGTATGTGTTATCAATTAAATGTCATAAACCTTTCATTTGTTTCATTTTTGTTATTCGGTTAAAACGCCGCAAAGTTTTACAATATCGCGAATTATCATAGTGCGATTGTGGACCCCACGACTTCAGTAAATTTCCACTACAAAGGCAATTATCCCCACAGGAACTATGGCGATTTAATAGATTTTATTGCTTTTTTCTTAATTTGCTAATGGGTTGTCAATGTGAACCTTTTAATTAATTAATATACATAGCCTTCAAATGAATCTCCATCAAAATGTAATAAATTGAAAAAATATAAGTAAGCATTAACTTCAAAAACCTTCAATTACTCAGATTTACTGTTTTTTACCTTTTAAATTTTTTTGCACCACCTTTGGATCACAACGACCCAAATAGTGAGGAAGTTCATCTAGCAACAAATATATGGTTCCTTGACTTTGCACCATAGGTATAGTTTTCGTCCCTTTAGTAGCAAGAACGTATCATGTACAAAACACATCAAACATTCAAGCAGAAAAAGTAATAGGGTACCGCTCCGGGATCCTTTTTGTTTCTTATGACTTGAACACGTATATTATAAAGAAAAACGGTTCATGAAGTTTGGATGCGGATGACACTTCATTAACTATTGGTGTTAAAAATTCTCTTCTCTTAGACAATTATGCGACCCTTCAATAAAGGGAACTGAATGAATAGATCGGGACTAATCGCCCACATATAAGGTGCGGCAAAACCAGTTAATAATACGCTAGCTTTCATCTCAAGCAAAATATGTGCAAATAAATTTAAACAACGAAAACGAAACCTTAATTTAACTTAACTGAACTTAACTGATCTAAACTGACCTTAACTGAACTTAAATGAATTTAACTTGCCATACTCTGTTTCGGCCTTAAAGCCTGGGTTCCACTTTTCGCATTCAAAAATGGTGTGTCTGATTGTATCTTCTTCGCCGCAGTACACGCAAACGTTGTTCTCCCTCCTTTTGTGCTTAGCTAGATAACTACCAAAGTTGCCGTGCCCTGACAGAGCCGGCGTGACCTCGTAAGTCAGTACTCCCCATTTCCTCTCTACCCATCCCTCCACGTTTGAGATGAAGGTTTTTGTCTACTTTGGGCCCTATTCCTCCCATTCTTTCTGCCATTGTTGCAGCGTATCTCGCCGCCCGCCCAGTCGAACAGCGTTCTTTTGTAGGCGTCCTGCCTTTCCTTGACTAGGTGTCTAATCGTGTGCATCCCGGCTATGGCCAACGCGCACTCGGTGGATATGATAACAGCCCCGCCAAAATATAGGCCTTCTCGCACGACTAGGGGCATCGTGCGCGGGTGCACCATCCTGTTCAAACCTGATGTTCCATTTTTTTATCGTAATAAAAATGCTACTGAATACAGTATGTTTTTTTTACCGTCTATATAAAGTTGATGATTTCTCTGAAAAAAACGTCGCAGTGAACATTTCTCAACGTTATATTGTAAAGCTCAAATAGTGGCAATGAGAAAGTGTTTATTTAATTTAAATTTAATTGCACAACTCCCTAGTTTGGCCATCATTGTACCAGCTATGCTCTATGCTTTCCGAGATCCTCATGATAGATGTCCTTATCTTGGACACAGTGCATAGGTACAATCATTGACAAAAGTAATGATCGCCGAATCAACATTTAAAAATATTGTGCACTTGGAAATGTGAACCAACAAGTTAAGGTATCTCTTCCTTGAAGCAACCGACGGAGCGCGATGTGATAGGCATGTTGGTTGCTTATGCAGCAGAGTACCTATTAGGGGATCATTACTTTTTTAAATGACCGTACGTGGTATATTGACAAAGCTATTTTGGCAGGGTCCGTTTTGTATGCGGGCCATTTTGAGCGAGGCTATTTTGACAGGACTGTTTTGACGGGACACGATGTTAGGGATTATGTGTGTATGTGGCATCCTGTGTTACGTTTAGGAATGAATTTTCCAACTATATGGCATGTGTTAAAGATTGCTTTTTTGTAAATGTTTATATGTGTTGTTATCTAAATCTAAAATGTTCAAACTATGGTGTAAGGTACCTTAGGTTCTATAGCTATGTCAGAGTATTTGTGGTGTTTATTATTTAAATTGATTTTTGTATTTTGTCTATAATAAGTTTAATGTATTGTCTATTATTGTAGTAGCTTTATCTGTGCGTAGTGTTCTATTCCAATATAATTTATGTGTCGTTTTCAATTATTATCTGTGGAATGTATTAAATTTGTAGTATGATGTGTTATGTGTCATGTTATTACATTATGTTTTAGGGCTAA